TAAGGACGCGTCCTAGGTTTTCGAACAGAGCATGTGTGAATGAGGGGTTAGGTTCTTTCAGTTCCTGCTTCTCACAGCTGCTCTGCATCACCTAATCACCCACCTGGTTCCTTTTGTTGAATCACTTCTCCCTGTTTATACACTCCCTAGTACTTCATTAGTGTATTTGTTTTCCTTCTTTTTTTTATGCAAACTAATGTTCTAGCTGTTAGTCTTTGTTGTTTGGTTACCTTTTCTGGAGGTTCTGTCTTTAATTTTGTGGGTCCGCCGTTACAGTTGACAACATTTTGGTCCCTAGAATTCACTAGCTTATTCCACAGCAACATCTGCTACTGATGTCTAGAACTGACAGTAACTTGACAGAAACTCCAGACAAAAGGTGTAATATCCTTTAAGCTGGGTGTGTCAAAATTCCCAAACTCTCAGAGAGATTTCCGTTCTGAGAGAAGAAAAAAATATTCCAGATTTTATGCTTCATATGTTAAAATGTATGGATTTATTTCTTAAATTATCTCCCACACTGGTAGTGAATGTTAAGCTTACCCCTTGCTAAATGTCAAACCATTAGTTATCAAGGCGTCTGTAAAACCGACAGTATCTTTCTCCAGCAGCTTTCACACTTGGGGACTCAAATCAGTGACAGCTGTGTTGATATAAGACTTTATTGGTTTGCTTGTACCTCACGAGCAAAAAAAAATCTGTCCTCTCTCTGCTAAGATATTGGATAAACCCGAGCCTCACTGCCTGCATCTGTGGTGGCTTTTTGAACTTGGTGTTTACCAGTTACACACAGACACGCCCTGAGGCCCTACCGCCACAGTAGTTTCACTGTAAAGTCCAAATCTATTTGCTAAGGGTTGGTTTGATGCCTATTTAATGCTACAACTGTAAACGCTCCTGTAATTAAAGTAAGGCTGGCAGAAGTTTAAAAGGTGCATTTGACTCGATTAACTTCTTGAGTTTCCTGCCCTTCAGTGCTCCTTATACTCACCGCACTGGTGTGGCTCTCAAGAAGCAGAAGCTTAAATACCATGCAGGGATTTTTCTTTTTTGAGGAATTATCTTGTTAGTGTGAGATAATTGCCTGTTCCTGCCCGAGCTTTAAGTTGTAAAATGATAAAAATACTCTTTAATTCCCATAGTTAAATGTACTCTTTTGGATTTTTCAAAGGCAGTTATTTATTTCAACTTTAGACATCAGAAAAATAGATCAATTTGCACTGTTCTCACCAGGAACAAAAGTGTCAATTCCCTCCTATTTTCTCTTTTATTACCACTCTCACAGTATGGCTGTTTTTTTTGTTGTTGCTGTTACTGTGGTCTTACTGTGCCGTTCTCTGCTGGGTCTAGTCAGCTGTGCTCTCACAAAGACTCCCTGGAATAAAAGAGCCACTGGAAATAAAGCCAGTCCTGTTGTGTAGACCACCTTTTGTGCCTTTTTTTTGTCCAAGCTCTTCTTTAAGAGACTACTAGCCATCTGCCTGCAAACAAAAGGAGACCAGGCCTCATCTTCCTCCCTGCATTCTTCCTCCCTGGTCTCAAGCCTGAAATATCTCAGAGCTGCATATTACTCATCTGTCCTCACAGACATAACTTTGGAGAGGAATTGATTGGTGTGGCATTCTTAAGAATGTCAACCACAGGAACGTATTTCTTCACCTGTCCTGTCATTCTTGCAGCGATGGCTCAGTTTGCACAGTACGTAAGAATCTTTGATTCATTTACTTCTGTTTAATCGGCAGACGGATAAAGGAATCTTAATTTTCAATGATGCAGAGGTTTGTATGTTACCATAAGATACATACACAGTTAATACAGCCCCCAAAACAAAAACAGGCATAACGACTACATATCATGACACTGACACCTTTAAGTTGACAGATTAGAAACTGAGACAGGAAAGAATGACGTCAGTTTAAGGCTTTGTCTCGGCATGTTGTGTGAGGTGCATGCCAACAAAGGTAGTTCTATATTTCTTTTGGAAACTTTAGAACGGATGTGCTAAGTTCGAGGGAACAGGTTTAAATTAATGCGTTGGTTTCCTTTGTTGAATGATTTTGTAATTACATATGTAAATTTTTTTTAATGTTTTTTTTTTCTTAACAAAAAAACCCAGAATCTTTAGTTTTGATGCAGTGCAGAATGATGCATGTTCCAGCTATATTTAAATCCATTTTTTTACACAATGTATGAAAGAAACATGTTTTTTTTTTCTTTGCATTTGGTATAGTTTCATTTTAAATGTTAAACATTTTTGGTATCCTTCCTCATGCCTCCCTCAGTGGTTGATGGGAATTTTGCACCATTCATCTTGACAGAACTGGTTTAACTGAGCCTTGCTTTCACACACCTTTTCAGCTCTGCCCACATTATTGAGAACAGCGCTTGGTGATGACCATTTCAAAACAGACTTTGTTATTTTTAAGCCACTTTGTAACCAGCCTGACTGTATGCTTAGAGTTTTATAAATCTCAATTCATCATTTTGTTTGTAATCAGTTAAATGGCCAAAAAAAATCACAATAGACACCTGAAAAAGCATAAATTAAATATTTTTCTTCTGTTATTTAAGCCCTGAGAGAGTTTAGCCTATTACTTAACGTAGGGGTTTTTCAGTAGTACGATGCACCACATATGTTGTGCAGATGGGATTTGACCAGTTAACTGGTTAAGACCCTGTCTGATGTCTAATGTTTTTTTGTTTTTTTTTCCCACACAGTAATTTATCCTCATAACTTGAGATATTTTAAAAATTGCACCAGTCCCTCTTGCTGCAACACACCCTCACATGATGCTGCTTCTCACTAAATTCGTATTCAATTAGTACGTTTTTGAATTTTGATGATTACATCAAACTTAAGCATTTAGAATTTGTACCTATGGATGAACCTGAATTGTGTTTGTCCACAGATATTTTTGCAAATTTGTTAGACTTTTCCAATACGTTAAACGATTAAGTGTTTTTTAGGTGTATCTAGAAACACATCCTCAGGTTTATCCTTGAAGAAACTGAAGAATAAGTTGAAGTTTTAAAGATATTTTTTTATTGACCCAACATTTCCAAACAGTTGTGATCAGACATTAGCTATAATATATCAGGGAGATTACATTTTTTTTAAGAATCCAAAGTTGACAACTGATTTAGCTGTAATAGGTGCAGCCAGAAAAGAGACAAAGAAATATCAAGAATTATTACAAAATGCAAATAAGGCAATCATTGTATTATATGCTGTGCTGAATCTGTAAATAAAAGATAAACCCCCAATTCAGGTTATTGAATATTATCATTGACTATGGAATCTACTGTTTCTTTATGAACACGAGGTGACAAATTAATAACAGTCTGAATACTATTGCAGATCCCTGACAATAATGTCGCGAAGTTGACTTTTTAAACTATGTTTGGCATCTTACATTAGCAGTTAGCAAATCTAGCACCATATATCTATATTTTCACAGACTTTAGATCAGAATCTTAACATGACATTTCAAAAGGACTGCCAACTATTCCCAATAGAAATGGGACATAGTTTAAAAGCATCAAAGAACCAAAAAAAAGAACAGTTCAGTTCGCCATTTATCTGCCAATTTTTCTTACTTTCTTCAGACATGTTTTGACAAGTCAGAGAAAAAAAAATAGTTTCCTCTTAAATAGAGCCTCTCTTCCTCTAACGTAATTTTTAAAACCTTGCTGACATTGAAATAGAAAACTTTATTTTACTCTGTAAACAAACAGTAAAGACTGTTGTTAGTGAAGCCTGGTAATGCTTCTTGCATTTACTAGATATTGGCCAATTTTAGTCACCAGTAAATGTTTCTGTATTGTTATTCTAGTTTAGAAAATATATGTTTGTGTTTCTTGTTTTGTTATAGTATGTGTAATTGTTCTTGTTGTTTGTGTGTGTGTGCGCGTGAAATTGAAGTGCTAATGTGGACAAATGAAGCATAAGCATAGCAACAACCACCCCTGGAGAGAAAAACAGTTCATGTCAGGAGACATGCAAATAAGCTTCAAGTCAGGATTTTCTTCAGATTTGGGCACTACAGGATAATTCTTTTGAAGGATTATGGCTGTAATCCTCCCAATCTGGGTTAATGGTATGGAGGTGTACGTTCTGTGAGAGAGCACATCCTGACAGACAGTGGCAATCTGCAGTCCAAATGTCTGTTAGATCTGAACAGCAATGTGGGGAATTCCACCAGCAGACAGACATAGCTGGAGGTCAAGATCTGTTTTGGTTACAAGGACCCAGCTTTGAATAAACTTGTGTCTGTCTTCGAGCAACCAAGTGACCCATTTAGAAGAGACCCTGTGCTGCCCGAGGACCCCAGCAAATGGAGTATTAACTGGAGCTAAGTGAGGTGGAGTGTGGCCGGAAGGCAGTCCTCTAATGGGAATGAGCTCTGTCCTAAAAAGTAGGAGGTGGGGGTTGGGTGTACACTGTTGATCCTGCTTTAGGGAGCTGTTGAGCTGTGTGAAACACTACTGACAGCACCTCACTCTCAACATCTCTTTCCCATCCTGGTTCTTTCTCTTTCTCTCTCCTCTCTCGGGGCGTGTGAATGAGGCCCATTGTTTGAGGCACGCTCCTACCTTCAGGCCGCCCACTTCCAATCCTGTTCCTCCTGCTCGTCTTGCTCTCTGCTGCCGCTGGGTTCAGACCAGATGCACAGTCCACTCCAGTAGCTCTTACTGTTCAGAGTGGAGCCTATCTGCTGCCTGTGTGCTGGGCTGTTGCCAGCAGCATCTGCTGCACAGCACTCACACTCCCTGCTCCAGATTTTTTCTCAGAGGAGCTGGACAGTCTCAGGGACTCCGTGCAGTCAACCATGGAGGCTGAAGCAAACAGAAGGAGTTTAGAAGGGGAGTTGATTGCTCGCATGGCTAAAAGACAGGAGAGGAAGCGTCAGGAGCTGCTGGCGTTGGCTTTGGGAGTCAAGCTTGGGAGCAAGGGAACTCTTCTGTGGAAGCCTATTAAACTGCTGGCCTCCTGTCCACAGATCTCCTCACCTGTGGTGCAACGGAATGCATTGAAAGACACGTCTGAGAAGCTGAGCTCCTATGAAAAGATTCACAACTTCAAGGTAAGCAGCTTTTTTTTTCATGAGAAAAGGAGGAAACTAGTTTAAGTAATTGCAGTTATGAATTCTCATGTTTATCTTTTTCTAATGAACAAATGATAAAGGTGATTTAAATAAGCGTGATGCTTCAATAATTAAAATAAGTTTGGAGAAATGAATGCGGAAACATAATTGCTCCCAAAAATGTAAACCTTTTAAATTACAGGTAAATGAAAGCTAAATAAATTTATGTTTAGATAAATGTTATTTAAATGTTGTTACCTTTAGCGTGACACATCTACAGTACACAGATTTAACTGAAAAACAAACTAATCTATGGGAGGTGGTACAATAACATTTGGGCGCAGAGCTGTATTCATTCTTCTTTAGTTGGAGTTTAACAGCCTCCTCCATTTTGACTTGATGATGTTTGTCCTCTGTACCTTGCAAAAGTCCTAATCACTCTACTATGTTGTTAGGACACTCTTGTCCAAAGGCACTTAAGTGACCCCAGAATTTCAGGGCCCCAGACATCTGGAACAAGGGCCGGGTCAATTAAAATTTTTTGTTTAAAAAATGTTCTTTCACTTCAAGTCCTCCTGTTGATTTATATTTATCACTGGACTAATGATGTTGCTGGAAAATGAATGGAGAAAAGCCTTTGTCTTCTACAGCTTTTTCTTCTACAGCTTTCTTTAATCCACCTTCACAAAGAACAATCTTTTCAGGGCCACCATCATCTTTCACAGGGGGTAACGCTTTTGTTTTTGGTCACAGATGTAATCTGCCTATGTATTTAACTAAAGGCTAACATGTATTCATTTTCATTAATTTAATTGAATGGCTGAAACTTTATTTCATGTACATCAGATTTAATATAACTGGCAGCGGATGTGAAAACCAAGCAGTCCAAATTTCCCAAATTCATAAAATGTATCTCCGCAAAGATTTAGTTTAAATGAACTTGGTTATTTTCCTCTAAACATATGTATTGTTTGGTAGAATTTTGCAGGATTGATGTTACACATAATTTGGTCTCACTTAGTTTTTTTCTAATCACTCACTAGGAATTTTAACAGAGGTATTTATGTGTTTTTCTTAAGAGGCTCTGTAGATTTCTTTGCTGGATGTTTGTCTGTCATATCTGGCACCAGTGTGTGTCTGCAGCTATTTTTCCTGAGAACCCAACCAGCTGACAATCATATGCACTGAGGGGAACTAATGGATGCACTACACCACAACCCATTAATGGCAGAAAGCTTTGATTAGCATTGATTTGAAAGCTTTTAGAGCCATTTTTGATTCCTGCTCCTTGTTTTATGACAAAGGTTATACAGCTTGTAAGTGTTCAAGTGCTGCAAAGTTATTTTTCTTTTTTGCCGTTGAAATAGAGCCGAAGGGAATACTTTGCCTGTGGGTGCCTCAACATTTTTGTAACTGTATATTTAGGTGTCAGTTACTAACAGGTTATAATGACTGCCACTGTTTTCTTCATTTTTCCTTTGGAACAATCCTCCAGCAACCACCTGCCACATGCTTTCTGCACCTCTGCACTCCTTAGGTCACTAGTTACCTATTGAGTGTGCTTCAGTAGGTGTGTGTGCGTGCTTGCTCTCTCACATGTGCCTGTGAGGCTGCCTGTGGCTCTATTTGTGATCTTATCTGTGATCTAAGTGTGCAGGGAGGGTGTGCATCTGTTATTTTGACTTTATGGTTGGCCCCTTCACTCACCCGCACGTATCAAATTGCCCAGCAGCAGATGCCAGACGCATTGTAATAAATCCTTTAATCTGCCTGGTGTATACACATATGCTCCCATTCAGTTAGGGGGTTCCATCCGGTGCGGTTTGGGGTAACAGACCTGCATATCAAAAGGGAAGTCCTCAAGTTTAAATTGGTCGCTGACTAACATTATAACATTTCTGACCACAGGTACATACCTTCAGAGGGCCGCATTGGTGTGAGTACTGCGCCAACTTCATGTGGGGCCTCATTGCCCAGGGTGTCCGTTGCTCAGGTAAACACTCAGCCTAGTTCAATCTGTGCACTGTTAACACTTTGTTACATGCATGTAGGCTCATTCAAGTACTTTTAAAATAAATCTTAAACCGTTTAGTGCAAATAAACCTTAATTCTGAAAAATCCCATCCTGTATCAACTAGCTTAACAGATATCTGTACAGCTAAACACAGCACAGTATTTCATTACTATCAATATTGATTTAGAATATAAATGCAACATTTGTTGTTGCTCTTATGGAATCAACGATTTAGTTTACTTTGAACAAGGAAAATGTCTATTTTAAGTATACTAGCAGGTTTCTTTTAGTTTTTGAGTATGATAAATGGTTTACAACAGTGGTTGACGTTAGCAATTGACATTAACTAATGTTCTTTTGGTATATTTAAACATGCATTTCAGGCACAGTTTAAGTGCCATATTTCTTATTTTAAACAGCATATAGCTCAGTGGATAAAACCTGTCTGTGTTCAACAACTACTAGCAGAGGAAGAGTTTGAAGAGGAAGTATAGTTTTACAACTGTAACAATTTTGACATCTAGCTCAAGCTGTTATTACAAGTCTATCAAAGATTAAACATTCAATTCAGTTTCTTTATATATAGGCCAATTCACAATACATAGCATCTCTGGTACTTTACAGTAAGAATCCATATATATAATACAGATAGATTGGTGACATTTAGTCATTGACTTTGTAGGATTAGTTCCTCCCAGTTAAGTTTGTGGCGACAGTATACATTCAATTGCATTGTGCTGCTGACTCTGAGGCAATCTCTCATGGAAAGCATGCATGCAGTGACAGTAGAGAGGAAAAAATTACTTATTAACAAGAAGAAACCTCCAGCAAAATCAACCTCAGCATGAGCTCTATAGTTCAAATTCTGTAATTAGGAAACTGACGCACTTGTAAAAGGTTAAAAAGGCTCTTAGAGCTTCCAGGCTTCTGAGCTGGTACATCATGCATGTCTCTCATTTTATTATTTAAATACAGCAACAGAATGAAGAGATTGGATTTTTACCAGAGATAATGGTTTGTCCGAGGTCATGAGATTCCTTCATTGTGAAGAAACAATCTTTAAACTGCACTGGTAGCCTTGGTTGGCTCTACCTAACAGAACGCCTGCTGTTGTGGTATTTTCCACGCTGATAAGCCAGAGGCAAACACTAACATCATCAGACACCTCATGTGCTGTGGGAATCAGAAGAAACTTCTTTCTTCTCTTTCACACTGTGTCTAGCCTATATTTTTGTTTCTTATCTCCTCCCTCGGCCTCCCCTGCAAATAAAAGAGCAGCAGGAACCTCTTTCAGGCTTTGAAATCGTTTTTCTTTTCTTTTTTTTTTTCCGAGTGATTTTAGACAAACACCCACTTTTACCCTCTGCAGCAGCACCTCTTACTGCCTCAGCTGTCCAAAGAGCTCCATGTGACAGAATCCCCCCCCCCGCCATGCTGTTATATCCGCTGATATCTACTGTTGGCGAGCACCCTGGGACAGCTTAGCTGCAGCTGTAGTGTCTGACAGCACAGTTTATCACAAACTCTGGGAAAGCTTTTCAAACTGCTGTCTTTAAGCTTGGTGTGATGATTGTGTTATCATCAGTTAGAGGCTAATCTATCCCTTTCTCTCTCTCTCTCTTACTGTGTTTATCTCACTTTTTTATTTGTTTTTTTTTTGTTACTCTGCTAGATTGTGGGCTGAATGTACATAAACAGTGCTCCAAATTGGTGCCCAGCGACTGCCAGCCGGACCTGCGCAGGATAAAGAAAGTGTACAGCTGTGACCTCACCACCCTTGTCAAAGCTCATAACACCCCACGGCCAATGGTGGTGGACATTTGCATTCGAGAGATAGAGCTCAGAGGTACAGTATGCTTCAATCTTAGTAGTAATGATCCAAAATGAAATAGACCAACATTTTAAATAGTTATGCTGTTCTGTGCCCTGAAAACACTGTTGATCACCATGCTCCTAGCAGTTAGATCTGTTTATTTTTATTGTTTTCTATCTACACTTAAACTTCTTAGAAAAGTAGCTGTTTTAGATACAGATTAATGTACTTTAAAGCTAAAAGACTCTTTAGAATGTTTTGTTCATTTTGATGGGTTCTGTTATACTGAAGTATAAAAGAATACATCACAAATAAGGGGCACTCACGCTGTTACGGTAAGCTTTTTGTCATGTTAAATAAATGATTGCCGAGTGAATCTTCCTGTTATTTACCTCAACAGTTCTTTGTTAGACCTGGTATCATACCTAACTTGCTCTACAGCTTTTAGAGGCTTTCACTGACAGACATCCTAAGCTAAATATAACGATTGTTTTGTAAGAGCCAATTCACTGAATAGTCACTCTCCAAAGTCTCTGTTGAGCTGTTTAGTGTTGATACAGGAGCTACAACAGTAGTGGTTCTGAGGTCTGTTTCAAGAAGCATGTTTACTGAAAATTAAGTCTTTTAAACCTGAATTATGGAAAATTCTGAGTTTTCCGTTTCACAAAGAGAGTTTCCTCAACCTCTGTTTCAGTCACCGTAGGAACATTCTCCCCAGAGCTAATCTGGTCGGGAGCAGGTTTTGTTCAGCGAAGTCGGAGTGTCTCCACTCTCTTTACAGCCAATCATGCTGTTTTATTTCCTGATTTAGTCAGATTTTTGTTGTAGTTTTGTGCATAAAAAAAAAAAAAAATCATTAACTAGGTCATTTTAAGATGTTAGGATTTAAAAAAAAACATTGCACGTCTGTTTGACGATGATCTTATTAAAGAATGATCAGCATTTTTTTCACAGAGAATAAATATTTATAGGGAGCGGACTCTGCAACTTAGTTGTCAGGATATGAGATTTCTTTTGTTTTGGTTCGATTAATATGAGCGATATGTGGATAATTTTATTTTTATTCGTTTATTTTTACAGTATATGAAGAACTACTGAAATTATTTGTCAGATTATACATGAATAGATGAATTAGTTCTTTAGGGTGAGGGATTAGGATTAGGATTCATTCAGTAATAACAACCTACTGAGCCTACTGGCACAATCCGAAGGCATTCTATGGGACTGATAACCACTGATAATGACCATTTATTGGGATAACATCCAAAGCCACTGCAAACAGCCACTTAGTATTTATCAAACTGAGAACCCATGACATGATAAACAGGTCCTATCTATTAGATTGTTTTTAGACTTCATATTCACCTGCTGTCAGATGATCTCACCTAAAGAGATGCATTGATCTACTGCCATTCAAGAAATAATCCTGTAATATTATCCCGGTCACAACAAGTCGTTTTTTTATGTGTTAGTTTGACTGAAGTACTTCTGATATCTGGGGGGGGAAAAATCCTTGACAAAATGACAGTTTCAAACAAAATTATATTCTTCACTTCTAAAAGAAACATTCTGGATGTCTAGAAATGACCTTCAGATCTCAAAATTCCTATTGTTACTGGTCAGCATTTAAATTGTTTTGACTATGAAGAAATGTATTTCAGATATCATAAATGCATATTCAAAATATAGTGGAAACAGCTGAAATAGCTCATAAGAATTTTATTCAAAAGCTTACATTCGTAATTTGTCTGTGGATTTTGATATTCCAAAACCCTCACCATCTTACATTGATGGCTATGGCATTGTAATGACAAACAACTTCTGGCCATCGCATGTTTTTTTGTGTTTAAGTGACGTTAAACACATTGGAGTTGGTACTTCAACGCATTACCATTGTTTATGAAAGCAAGGGTGGTCTAATCATTTGTTGTTTTTTATGTCTGTAAATGGCTAAATTTGGCCAAAATACATATCAGCACACTTCTATGTGACCTTTCCAGTTTGTATTAAAAGTTTGACATGGATTTAAACATAGACGTGTATACTCAACGCCCCCTACCCAGCTCATCAAAGTGACTCTATGTCACCCAAATTATCACCCCTTTACTAAGGCTCCTTGTACACTACAGTAGAGAACATAGTTTTAGTTCTTCATACTGATTCTACTTTACATTTCTGATCTTCTCATGTCACTAGCAGTTTTTTTGGGATGACTGGTCAGGTTAGCTAGAATCTAAAGCTAGAATCTTTGCAGAGCCTTTGCATTGGTACTGTCCATTCTAAGCAGTTTGTCTCCATTGTGCAGCTTCAGCTGACATTTTCAAAAATCAGCCGAAGCTAATCAGTTTAGAAATGGTCATTTGGAAGCAATGGTTCTAAGTTGATTGTGCTTGATTGTTTTTTATTTATCTACCTGTATTACGTTTCAAATTTGTATGTTCAGACTATTATTATTTTGTTGGGATGCACCTTGTAATCTTGTCTTGAATTTTGCTAAATGATTTAAACTTACTGTCTTGAAACAAACTGCTTGATCAGACTATAAACCATCTGTTGCAGGTATGAAATCTGAGGGTCTGTACAGAGTGTCTGGCTTCTCAGAGCACATTGAGGATGTCCGACTTGCTTTTGATCGAGGTTTGTCACATACACTTCTTTACCTCAGGATGCCTAATTCTAACATTTTGTGTTTTAAGGTTCTCCCTTTTATAAGGAGCATGTTCAGTTGCTGTTCTGCGCAATAGTGCTTTCTGATGTGATGTTGTCTACACAAAAACAGTCATTTTTCAATTATATGAAATTCATCCTTTGATCCCTGGCATGCACTGTTTGCTTCTTGACAACAGATGGTGAGAAGGCGGATATCAGTGCCAGTGCCTATGCAGACATCAACATAATTGCTGGTGCTTTGAAGCTCTACTTGAGAGACCTCCCCATTCCAGTCATTACATTTGACTTGTACTCCAAATTTATTCAAGCTGCAAGTAAGAGATCTTCTCGATGGTACTTCCATGCCTGTACGGTACTAGCGCCTCTCTGCAGCGCTTTGATACTCATCGTTTTACTCATGCAGAACTTCCAAATGCCGAATCCAGACTGGAGGCGATCCATGATGTGTTACTGCAGCTTCCCCCAGCACACTATGAAACCTTACGTTATCTGATGGCTCACCTCAAAAGGTTAGTTCATTTATTTCTACGGCAACATTTAAGTTTACCTGAGTGACATTTCCCACTGCAAGCTAATTTAACTCATAATCACCCCCAGCCCTTATGCAGTTAACTAAACATAAAATCCCAATAAAATACATGGAAATGTATGGTTATGATTCGATAAATGCAGAAATGGGACATGGTGTATTTGCAAATACCAACAATTGCCATATTGTAATATATTTATATACTACTCAATAATTCATTGAGAAGCTTTTATTGGCATTACAGAACCTTAATGCTTTTAAATGCATGTACATACATTAGCTATCCTTGACTATTTGTCTTTTGCAATGACCCTCAAGTCGCTGGGTTCTGAAGGTCTCTGTGGATCCTCTTCAGTTTCCCTCACAGATTTTCTGTCTGGTTCAAGACAAGACACTGGCTGTCCCAATTCAAAAAGCTGAAATATTTTTTTTTTAGCGAACCATTTCTGTCCCAATTTAGCTTTGTTTTATTTCACCATCATTCACACAGCCTTAAGACTGATTTATACTCAGAAACCAGGTCGTCTGCATGTCGCAGTGAATGTAAATGTGCCTCCGCCCTTGCTGCAGACACTCTGCTGCACCTGTCCAAAATTTTAGGTCAGCACAGACAGTGCTACAGACAGGAGGCCTCTGATTGGTCAAATCGACATCGCGCTACACTATCTGTATTTCCTGTTTGGTACCTTACCGGTTGTTTTGTTTGTACGACCGCCATTGTGGAAAACGACTGGTGAAGTTGGACCAGCTAGAAGAGCGAGGTGTGTGAGAAAGTTGGGACCCTTTTTCGACCTGGATCCCTGTGCTTTTTCGCCCTCATGTCCCTCTGTTGTCGCATAAACTTGCCCCCACATCCTCACTGCCTCGGCCGTATCTCGACCGAATGTGGAATAACATAGCGCAGACCACTCTTCAATATTGGGCATAAATCAAAAATATCTGCAACAAGCTCTCCGGACACACTGCTGCGGGGAGCATAACCAGCCCTTTATCCTCAGCTGCCCAAAACCTGCTGGTGGCATGTGTTTTTACCTACTGAGCTGACTAAGCAACCCTAACATCAACATCTTGATTAATCTAGTTAATTTGGAAGCTTTACAGCAGCATGGACTAGAATGTATGTCATTTTAAACATGATCTGTGGCCCATTGAGGAATCATACTTTCACATTTTTGTTTGAATCATTCCCATTTTGCAATTATATGTTGAAAACTCCTTTAAATCTGTATGATAGAAGTATATGTATATAATTAGCAATGAACTTGGAGGTTTATCAGGCCTCAATAGGCTTTAGTAATTTTGCAGAAACAAATTGAAACAATCTGAGTGTGGGGAAAATTAACACTATGAAACACTTTGACATTAAATCTCCCTCTGTTACTATTTAATTATCTTTTAGGGTAACAACGTTCGAAAAGTACAACCTAATGAACGCAGAGAACCTGGGGATTGTCTTCGGCCCGACTCTCATGCAGCCTCCGGAGCAGAATGCTTTGACTACCCTTAATGACATGAGGCAGCAGAAACTGGTGGTGCAGCTCATGATCGAACATGAAGATGTTTTATTTTGAAGGCCACGGCCTGCAGAGATGGACACCATGGACAATAATTTATTCTGTCAAAAGGAAAGTCAAGCCAACTGTACTTAAGTGAAGACTCTGAAATGTTTGCAATCAACTGAACTTGAAACACTTTTTTTGTTGCATGATGGATTTAGTTGGTTTTATTGTTACTGTAAGTTTAATGTTTGAAAAACTAAAGCAAGAGCAGCATTTTTTACGTTAAGTAATGGTTATGTAATTTTATTTCATTGCTTTCTTCCCTTTGTGTATAATTTGAAAACTGCTTCTACCTGGTGTAGACTCAGTCAGAATGAAAGCACCATGTTATATACAGCACCAACTGTACTTAGTGGCAACCCTGGTAAAGTCTTAAAAAATATCTTAGAACCAAAGGTTTTGAAAACTCAAACCTTTATACAAGACATTAGAATCCCATTGAATTATAGCCATTTCTGCTGTAAATACTCTTTACAACCCAATTTAGACATTATAACAGCTCTTATTCCTCCAAATGTTTCCCGAGGTTGAAGCATATAGACGGAGGCATATTTTATGTCGATTGAGTCTTTTCTTTGTTAATTTATCCAAATGTTTTGGATCAGTATCCTACTAAAACACCAATTTACAACTTATTTGGCAGAATCCATCAGATAAGTGTTTAAAATGCTTGTCACTACAAATGATTTGGTTTTTCAAAAAAAAAAAACAAAAAAAAAACTTTAGGTAAATCTGGTTTTTAGACACGCTCTTTCTGTAGTAAAGGTAAATAAATGTACTTATTTTGATGCTATTACTCCAACTAGGCTCTCAGGACCTTTGAAAAGGAGACAGGCCCACAGCATCACATTTCCTCCACCATATTTAACAGTTAAGTCAGTTGCTTACTAAAAGACGTCTTGATTTCACCTCACCTACTCAACCAGTTACAGTCCTAATGCAATTTAATAGGCTCCATATAGTTAGATTTGTGGTAGCTGGGAAACAATACTTCATGCTCAGTGCCACCTTAACCAAAGGTTGGATAGTAGGTAATTGTCATCCTTACATGTCAGTGCTGCTCCAGTGGGATTTGTCGTCTGTGTTTAACCCATCCCTTTAGAAGCAGTGGGCTCTGCCGCTCATTCAGGGGTTAAGTGTGTGGCTCAGTGGTTGTCAAACCGAGAAACAAGATGGTAACAGAAAATTGGATCCAAATCATGCCTTTTTTGTCAGATTTGTTGTTTTTTTTTATTAATAAAAATTGTTTAGGACAAGAAAGTAAAATAAACCATTTTAAACTAAAAGAAGATAGTGAAATAATAGGATAGTTTGAACAAATGTTCAGGTTCATTAGGGGGCTTTTTAGCATCTTAACCAGGAGGGTCAAAAGGTGTGAGGGGTACTCTGGGACCAGTTTGGATTAAATTGATGAAAGAAGGCTCGGTGCTGTTTAATCTGAGCATTTTAGGTCAGACTAATGTATGCCCACATCATTTTATTTATTTTTTTCTGAGAGGGGGGCTGGAACACTGGAATGATATGATGTAGATAAATTAAAACTTAATGTGTACTTAAAAAAAAGGAGAAACGAGAAATTCATGAGGCACTTTTAATGCGTCAATTGTAAAGATTTATTTTGTAAACATGTCCATGCTCTGTGTGTTTCTCCCAGTTTAATATAAGAGCTTGGAAATGCTTGTTTATGTTCCTGCAGGAGTTGAGTCAGAACAGAAATAAGTTACTTGGATCCATCATTACTGTGTGGATTTTTATTTTATTTTTTTTTTAGCAATTATCTGATAAAAACATGTTTCTATGTTGTCTTGACGGCTGCAACCCATCAGTCCAACTCTTTTGTGCACTTTGTGGTTGGCAGTGTTGCAGAATTTGAATACTGAGACTATGATTGGGGATATGTTTAAGTAAATGTTTTTTTTTCTGTCTCAAGCCAGTAATGTTGCTCGATGATCATCATCACAGCAGAAGGGCCCGAAGAGGCGCCTGTGCCAAGCATGTTCCTTTCTAACATTGTTTAATGTGATTATTGAATCCTTTCTATAGATCCATTTTATCAAAATGTATTTTTGTGACAGTCGCAATTCAAATGTAATTTATGAAATGTTTTATTAAAGAATGTACAACTGGAGTTTCCGATGGAATGCCCAGCTGAACTTTTGTTATTCTGAGCCCGATTAAAACTCATGTTTTTTTAAGAACATGAACAAAATCCAGAGTTCTCTCACAGTTTCCCCTTCTATCCTTTCTACTCCTGCTGATCCAGCTCTACCTGCATGCATGTTTGTGAGAAGCGTTTGCCAGAACCCAGATGAAATACAGGAAGGAGTAAATGGAGGAATAAAAATAAAACAGTGGTCCTCTTTGTAAGAAAGGTGCACCACAGTAACATCCTGCCCTGCTACATAAATGGCGCTCTCTCCCATGTTACTCATGCATGTTGTCTTTCATGTTTGCTTTTAGACATACAGGAGTGCAAACAATGATGCCATAATTTCGTCATATATTTATATTTAAAGTAAATGTATAGAAAAATAGGAGAACTTTTTTTTTTAATGCTGAGCAAATGTTATTAAGGTTATAAAAAGGATTGCACCCTTGCTTTATTTTGTTGCATCATCACCCAAGTACTGGAGTTAGTTTAACTTTGTAAAAGCTGATTAATCATTAAGTTTTCTTTAACTAACGATCAACCAAAGCTTCAGGTTTTTAAATAATGTTAAGAGTAATTTGGGTATACAGGAAAATAAAAAAAAGGAGAGATTGGGTCAAAGTTATTAGCAGTCCCATGCTTCAGTGGGTCCTTTGATCCAGGAAACAATCTGCTTCTTGTTCCTGATTTTACCAGTCCCCTGACTGAGCCTCGGGCCGTAAGTCACATTTACTCCACATGTTAAACAGCTCCTGCTAACTGGCCATGTTATTTACTCTGCAGTTATTTTGGAGCCATGTCTAGGGCTGCTGTGAGGGTGGGAACAGCAGAACGCCTGTGAACCACTTTAATAATGATATGGTATTTAACACGAAATTTGAAGCCAAAAAGCCTCTTAATCGTTTAGAATGTCCTGAAAAAGATAATTTAATCCCAGAGTTCAGTAATATACATAAAAATATATTATTTCACATTTTCATTGTCACATTCATTTTGGACTGGCAAGCTATGCAAGGTGTATCCTGCCCTTTCCTCCATAGACTGCAGGTAATAGGCACCAGCCCCTCTGACCTAGGCTGCAGACGATTGATGGAATTTTAATTTATTACCTGCAGCATGCAAAAACCCAAAATTTAGTTTCAGAAAATGATATTATATAAAAAAGCTATTTGAAAAGAAATATTTCATACAAAAAAAATAAAAAATCCTGCCGCAAAGTCTACTGGTTTAGGCCTGGTCTGGGCTCATTTTGAGTGGGGATGATCAGGCTGTAACTGCTGAGGAGGCCAGGTTACTTTAAAAGCGGCATTTAGCTCATTTGCATTGTTGAATCTGGCTCTGATCATATCTCTATTCAACTGGAGGGTTGTCGTTTCAAGCCCTGTCATTGTGTCCTTGGGCAAGACACTGCGCCTGCATTGCCTGCTGATGGTGGTTGGAAGGAATGGTGGCTCCTGTGTATGGGGAGCCACTTCTGTCAGTGAGCCCCTGGGCAGCTGTGGCTACCATGTAGGTTGTCACCATCAATGTGTGCGTGAACGGGTGAATGACTTAGTGTAGTGTAAAGCACTTTGGTCAAGTTATCTGACTTGAAAAAGCACTATATAAGTGCAGGCCATTTACCATTTACAAAACTTCTTCCATAAAAAAGAGCAGACAGCAGAGCTGACTTTGGATTTTAAACATATGTCCACTAGCAGCATACTGCATGTTACACATTCTGTGCATCTTCACACTTTCTATAGACTTTTGAACTCCTAAGCAGTAGTACAGGTACGACCCTTCTGATATTGTATGTTGGTTCAGATGTAGAGTTGTAGCACTTGTGGAGCCCAAAACCTGACTCTGCTTACAGTTCACACAATGATTTTGTTAATCATCAAAATGATTTGCATATGTTTTTTGTTTTTTTTCCTTCCACATAATTTATCATTTAAATACATAAAGGAAAGAGACTTCTGGCAAACAGCTCACAGATTTTACCCATCCTATTGGTATGCCATTAACTCTTTTCTTATCCACTTTTAAGGTACCATTGTTTTTGTTTATATATTTATAAGGTTTGTGGGTAGATCGCTCAATAAACTTTAAGGGTTTTTAGCTTGCAATATATTCAAGCATTTATTTTGTATTTGCAACCATAGCTCTCCAACATGCATACTAAATGTCTCTATCAAGTAATACTTTGGATGACTACACTCTCAATCTGAAGAAAAAATATATAGGTCAGTCAGTTACTGAGGGGGAGCATGGATTGTGCATTTTTAAGGTTTGGGAGGATTTAAACAGATGAAAGCATCATGAAACCATAAAGTGCGTGAGCGTCCTCTAGTGGCAGATATGAGCAGAAGAGATGAAGCATTTGTAGGTTGGAACCAGTTAATAAAATGTATTTAAACAAAGTAGTTTATTTCATAAAAATATTCTTCAGCTTAAACAAAAAAGATGTACACTGAAATTTACATCTGTGTGTGCAGCAAAAATATAAATACAGTAAAAACTGTACAAAGGTTGACAAAAATTCGACGTCAACTCAAAAATAAATGACCACTACAAAATAAACTGCTGAACAAAATGTTCACATGTATAAATAAAGGAATTACAGTTTGTTTTAAACAACAGTTTCTGTAACAGTTTGAAATGTTATTAATTCAACAACAACTCCTAAATCTTCAGTCATTCAGAGCTCATCGTGGATGGAGGTGAATTCCCTGACGGATATAAAACCGTCTTTGTCCTCATCCTCGTTTTTGAAGATGTCATCAACCATCACTTCATGATGCGTGTCATTAGGTGAGTAGCCGTGTTTCTCAAACTCCGCCTTCAAGTACTGTTTAACCTGGAAATGCAGACAGAATTTAGAAAATATTCTCCAAATAAAGAAGTAGTCTCTTGACATAGAGAGAGCAGCAGTAAACAGTCAGACCTCCTGTCTGGAGAGTTTCCAGTCATCGTTGAGGTCCATGTCCCGGAATGATTCGTGGGACCTGGGACCATTTCGGATCTCCATGAGCTCAATGTCAAAAATCAGGGTGCTGCTTGGAGGAATCTTACCTGTAAACATAGCAGGATTTTAGAGTAGATCCAGGCTCTGGTAGACTTATTTCACTATTGTAATATTATAGTGAAAAAACCTCAATGCCTTGTAAATTACTGTGACACTCTCACAAATCTCTTTCAGTTTATGTTACAAATATATATATATATATA